CAGTTTAACAACAAATTACTTGTTTTTATATCTTCTAACTAAGTTCACAACAAATGCACAAATATTTCTCTCAAATGGATCATTTTCAGTAAATTGTGGGTTTAGGCAAGGGCTCGCTTTTTTCACATTTTCCTTGCTGAATAATCAATAAATTGCAGATTAGACATTCGTTATATAAATTATTAGGAGTTTAAAAGGCATTAAAAAATATAGTCTTAATGTTTTGTCATTAGATACACAGATATTGCTTGTATTGAAATGCAATGCTGTATTAGCAGAAGAACAGATGAATATAAAAGCCAAGACACCTATTTCTGTAGGGGTCACACCAGGGCTGAATATCAATATGAAGTGTGAAGGAGCCATGTCCTAAAAGCTTAGCGCTCTTTGTCAGTCTAAAGCTTCAGGTCAGACTCGGAGCTGGTTGCCAAGGAGACGTACCACCTTCAAGCAGGACGATGGCTCTCACAGATCAACCCATTCAGTCCTGTGACTGTGACGTGAGCGGCACCGCTGTCAGTGACGTGGGACTACCACAAACTCATTTGCATGGGCGCTTCAGTCGAGAGGAGCTTCAAGCCAAGACCAGCCGTGCGCTTTGCTCTCCTTGGCAACGCTCTTGATCTGGCTCCACAGGTAATCTCAAACGTAAAGACTCAAAGCATAATAAAGTTAACTGCTTAGCATGTTAGATAGAGCCAACTGTCCTGGCAGGATCCCCCTCATCCCTTAGTGACAATGAAACCACAAAGACCATCTTCCTCCTCCCATTGGCTGGTAAGCTCCGTGGTGATGCCCTGTGATTGGGCATGCCCAGTGTGCACTCTGGGCCAATCACACTCACTGTATCCAAGAGACTGAAGCACGTAAGGCTATTTAAATCCAACCAGAGACCCACAAGATTGTACAGATGTACATTTCAGAGTGTCAAAATTAAAAAAAAAAAAAAAGCCAGGAGGGGAAGTTTAAGGAGTGGATACATGTGAAAATCCAAATAGATTTGATTGTTTGTTTGTTTTTTTAAAGATGAGTTAAAAAGACACAGAGCGAGCCACAACTTCAGAGGAAAAACTTTGGCAACATCCTTAGCTCTGTATTTTTCTGTGACTACCGGTATATTGATCACATCCTCTCCTTTGAGTTGATGCTTGAGTTGCAGTAAATGAAGCTTGAAGAGAGCAGTGATGGCTTGGTGAAATTGAATGGACAGAGGATGTCTTGCTCGAATACAACCGGGGACAGCCTGATTAACGGTGCACGCAGAACAGAAATGTTGCGTCAAAAAGATCAACTTGCAGTGGACTGCAACAGCAGGCTGAAACTCTAGATGACGATGACGACGTAAGTCTGCAGCCATTTTGGGTCTAATCATTTTTTTTTTAACGTCACGATTTGTACAACTATAAAATGGTGGTCAAATCTGGTTGGCAATAAAATAAAATAAAATAATCCATGTCAAATTCAATGCACACAACTGGAAGTGAATAATTACAACCTTCCTTTTAACTTTTTACTTTAATAACTACAATTTGTAGTCAGTATGAACATAAAATTGTAAATTATTTTGTAGAATTTTTTGATTAAAAATGTAAGACGTGATGATTGATGTGATGTGACGTGATGATTTAGTGTATGGATGTTTTATGTGTCTACTGACTGTGAAACAAATTGCCCCTTGGGGATAATAAAGATTCTTGAACTTGAACTGAAGACAGTTTATTTGGGAAGAATGTTAGTTAAATAATTCTACCGGGTTTCAAGGAGCAACTGAATTGTATTTAATTGAAATCTAATTATGCTGAAACTACTTGTTTTGTGTCTAAACTGATTAGTGACATTTGTCAAACAGCTGTAGTTTTTTTTCACGTCTGCAAGTTGAAGTTTGTTGTCAGTTTTGTTTAAAGTTTATGTACAAGAAGATATATCCATACCTTGTTGAAATACAGTATTTTTAAGAGAAAAAAACATAAAAATTAATATCTAGTGTGCTTTGATGCAAAGTGTGTTTCTCATTGTGAGCAGGCGATTACTGCAAACTTGTCTCTATTTTGTTTACAGGTATTTTGAAAAACACAAGTTTCGTATCTTCAACAAATGTTATATAGTTCCAAAGTCTGTGGGGCTGTAATAAATAGAATTGTGGGCTATCATGCAGAGTTTTCTCATTATTACAGTAATATAGGACCATTATCACATGTTCATTTTTGCATTCCATTGCCTACTAATGAAGAGTTTAAATGACATTTTTATAAATATACTTTAGCCATACTGGCATAGTAATAACCTAGAATCTGTAGATAGAGCCTCGATCACAATTTATTAAAGCGGTAGGTTTTGTTTTTGTTTTAGAGCCTTAAATTATTGAACTGTCTTTCTGATGAGAACAACATTTCCAGCTACTTTCAAAACACTTTCTAGTAAATCGTTTTACAGTTACTACTGTGTGTGTGCATAAAATCTTGCATCACATGCTCAAACACATTCAGTTATTTTTAGTATGTCAGCGTTCAACACTAGTCTTTAAGTCCTTTACACCTGCTTTTTAATTTACTTTAATATTCAAACATAATTATACATTTGTTTTATTGGTATTTACTGTTTTGATAGAGACCCTGTGATGGACTTGCAAACTGTCCAGGGTGTACCCTGCCTCTCGCACAGTGATGGCTGGACATGGGCACAAGTGACCCTCACGACCCAAAAAGGAAGAAGCGGGTAAAAATAATGAATGGATGGATGTTTTGATAGAGGAATATCCTTAACATGGAATCCAAAAAAGTTCAATCTGGTCCTCTGGACATTCAAAAAAAATTTTTGAATGTCCAGAGGACCAGATTGAACTTTTTTGGATTTTTCTACCTGGATTATTGAGCATGCATCAGGATACTTAACATGGAATGTTGCAAAGTGTCAAAATGACCGCAGAGCACAGCTGAAACAGGTATATATGAACACTTTTTACACTAAGAGTATTTCAACAAACCAGAAGTAGACATGGATATATCTAGACCACGTCGATGCATTGCAAAATACAAACACTAAGCATGTTTGCTTAGTGTTTGTATGCTGGTATTACTACCTTGAAATAATACCATTTGCTGGTATTTTTTTCAAAGTAGTAATACCAGCAACTGTTAACGCTGGTATTATTACCTTGAAATACTTATTCATACAAATTCATCCTGCTTGCACCGTTGAAATTCTATGTTGTCGTTTACTTTTTATCTTTAAGACCTTGCAAATATTATAACTACTTTTTCCCTTTTTTTTTACTTTCTTTTGGACCCTTATTCCATGCTTTCCTATTTCTTGTTTGTTTGTTCTTTGTTTTTTAGCAAGCCAAATCGGTTCTTCTCATCCTGAGCATTTCATTGTACTGTTAACCTTGCATATGACAAATAAACACAACTTGAACTTGAAGAATCTTGAAAATGCATTTAGCTCTTTTTTTTCCTCTGCATATTACATGTCGGTTTATTGACTTTATTCAGTTCAGAACTGAAGAAGCCTTTTGGAAGAGAGAGGTCTTCAAGAAATTGGATACATCTAAAGAAATTGGTCCAGATGACGTAACCTTTTTTAGTTTTTCTAGTTGCCTTCTAATGAACCACAGATTGAAACGTGCAAAAGTTTGTATTTCATTGCAACAGTTCGCATGTGATTTATTTTATTTTTTTACTACAGAGCCTACATATTTTGTTTGACATAAAAAAGGAGCAAAAACAATTTTTTACTGTCATGCTTCACATTTGAAAAAGTTTACCTTACATCAACTAGAAAAAGCTACATTAATTAAGCTAACGTATCAAAAACGTAACCCATCATCCCTGATTTGACCAACAAAACAAATATTTTATTATTTTGAATCACCTTACCTTATTTCTCACAATATGGCTTCATTTCACTTACCAGTGGTAAACATATTTGAAATATTACTTCTGCTATTTAAAAAAACAAACGCTTACTTTGAGTCGAGTGAAGCTAAAGTTGTAGTTCCCGCTGCAGCAGTTGAACACGTCACCCGGTCGGTCGCGCGACCAACCAGCTCACTGAAGCTCGTGCACCTGCTTCGGGGTAGCTTGCTTGTCTCCTGCTCGAAAAACTTTCCTGTTTTTAACAGGTTTCAGTCGTAATGGTTCTTCAAATCCGACCACAAAAGGCATGTTTTATTTCCTGAAGACGCCTGTCTTTGCTTTTTAAACTGAGAGAGGAGTGTTAACGGTAAGTTTATGTTAACCAGAGCTCGAGCAAACTTCAAACACCACTCTTTCCTAAAGCTAGGTTCCTAAAACATTTTCTTTTTCCTGTACCGGTTAAGTTAAAGTTGTGTAAGTACATATTTTCAGCTGCTGAGATGCTTATAAATAAGTTAAACTTGCTAAATGTGAAGTTTGTTCGTTTCCCCCCGAGTTTGTCGTCCTAGTTAGTATAGCAACATTGTTGTCACCATGGAAACGGAGCGTGAACGCGCAAAGGGTCCTCTCGTCAGTCCCTGTTTATTCCGAGGCACAAGCAATATTTGTGTTTTAGCGCGTTTAACTGCATTAAAATCGTATATATTTATGTACTTTTTCTTACTAATAATCAGTGTTAATTAGAATTTTCAAAGTATAGAATAAAAAAACAACATTTGTTGCTTTTAAAAAGTGCATACCAAACCATTTATTTTGGAGCAGTTTTAAGCAAATTTGAAAACTACATTTTTATTGATAAGGTTTATTGTGTATTAAGAAAGCTCAAAATGTTAAAAATTAGTTTGTCAATTAGCACTTTGAAAACTTTAATGTGACCTTCTACTGTTTGTATCTACTGTATTTTTTTTATTACTTAAACACAAATTAATATTTTTGAAACTTTTTTTTTACAACCTCTCAGAGAATGTCCAGTTTTCTGATAATTTCTTATATTTGTGATTTAATGAAGACAGGTAATCAAAAAAATTGTGGACTTTTTTTTTTGTTTGTTTGTTTTTTTGTTTTTTTTGGGTCATCCAGGCCTAAATGTCATCCATGGAGACAAAACATGAGATTTGCAGTCCTTTTGTGCAACGTCGACGCAACAGTTTGAGGAAAACCTGTGCAGAGATAGTTAATGAATCTCGACAGTCGCTGCGAGTTCAGTCCACCCAGCGACCATTTACTCCACAAGATGGACATAGACAACTGTTTGGTAGAAATTCTGTTCGAACAGATTCTGACAGCAGACCATCATCTACTTTTAGGTCAGTCATGAATTCCACTGTGCAATATATTTATATGAAAACTGATGTGGTTTAACTGTGTTTTGATATGTCTAAAATGTACAAAAGTAATAATTTATTGATACTTTGTAGTCTTCATGGTCAGAATTTTGATGCGTCAGACTCCAGGCCAGGCTCTGGGACTCGCCTCTCGCCTTTGAACCATGTATGTTCCTTCACAAATGCATAATAGATGATTTTGTCAGGAGAAAAGATTTTGAGCTGAAGATATTTGCCTTTTTCTATTTCTCCTACTGCATTATATTATATTCCATATAAATGATGTGTAAATAGTGATTAAGGCATGGAACTGTACTGAGAATCATAAAAATAAAAATTCCGAGTTTGGAATTGAAATAGGGATATTTCTACATGCAAAAAGGTAATTTCATGGCTAATTTCATCTAATTGCTCAGTCTGTTATAAACCAGTGATTTGTTTTTGCTGCTCCAGAAACCAAAACTTCCAGCCCCTTTTAAAGCTCAGGATTCATCCAAGGAATTTCCCAAATCCCCCTCTTGCCCAGTGGATACAAGGAGGGGACTGGCACACGCTCGGTCACGCCTCCTCAAGCCTCTCACCACGCTGCTACCATCAGAAGTATCAATAGAAGGTGAGGGCGAAATTATTAAATGGGTTGACCAACTTTGACTTGTTTATAATTTTTAGTTGGCACAAGTTACAAAAGTAAATTTATCTCTGCTACTTTTGGTCTTTGCCTCCTTTTTACTGGAAATGACTGTCCCACTGTGGTAAAAAGTATAGAGTCCACTTGAGTTATACACCTACAGAATGAGAAAATTGTACTTTGATCTGGGAAAAAGATGTAGAAATATTGCTGCAGCACACAGCTGTAACCAGTAAACTTCTTTTTTTGCATTTTCGTTAGTGAAAGAGAAATTAAATCCTGGTCCTGAACAAAAGCAGCAGTCAGCCGAACAGTTATGCCGTCCAGAACAATCAACAGTTCACAATGATCCTCCAATACCTGGCCCATGCAAATCATCTAAAGAAAGGTAAAACTTTCTGTTTACATTCTAATATACAGAGGCATCTCAAAAAATTAGAATATCTGTAAAAGTTCATTATTTTTGTCAGTCATTTCAGAAAGTGAAACTAAAATATTACATACATTATATTCAATACACATAGAGTGAAGTGTTTCAAGCCTTCATTTCTTATCATTTTGATGATTATATGAAAAACATAAATTCAGTGACTCAGAACATTAGAATATTGTGAAGAGGTTCAATATTGAAAACTCCTGGTGTCATACCTTAATCAGCTGACTAACTCCTAGACATGACCTACAAATGTGTCATTCCTCAAGTCAAGCCACTCCTGAGCCAGAGACAACATCAGAAGCGTCTTACCTGCTGAGGAGATGAAGAACTAGACTGTTGCTCAGTGGTCCAATGTTGTCTTTTCACATGAAAGTAAATTTGGAGTGTCCTTTGGAAATCAAAGGTCCCAGAGTCTGGAGGAAGAGTGGAGAGGCCCAGAATCCACGTTGCTTGAAGTCCAGAGAGAAGTTTCCACAGACAGTTTGATGCCATACCCTCTGCTGGTGTTGATCCACTGGGTTTTCTGAAGTCCAGTCAACGCAGCATCTACCAGGACATTTTAGAGCACTTCATATTTCCTTCTGCAGCCAAGCTTTATGGAGATGCTGATTTAATTTTTCAGCAGGACTTGGCTCTTTCCCACACTGACAAAAGTAAAGCTGAGTAATATTCAAAATTTCTGAAACACATCATTTTAGTTTTTCATTATTTGTAATAATCATCAACATTATAAGAAATTAAAGCTTGAAATGTTTCGCTCAATGTGTAATGAATCTATGTAATTTATGAGCTTCACTTTCTGAAATGATTAACAAGAAAAATTGAAAATTTTCACAATATTCAATTTTTTTAGATACGCCATTTGGTTTGCCTGTCCACCCTTTGTTGCTCCTAGTCTATGATCATAATCAAACCATAGTAATGAGTCTAGGATTTACTACAAGGCTGAAACTACATGAAGCTTTTGCCTCTCTTTAAAATCTTCCTAATCCCCACTGCTTTCTGTATATTCAGAAAATTCACTTTGTTTCTAAAGTCTTAGTTAAGACTACTTAGCAGTGAAAATATTACCAGGGAATGCTTTTAAACAGTTAATACCTGTGTAATTATTGTAAAACATTTCCATCTGGGAGGTGATCATGTTAAATAAAAGATCTATGCAAGACTATACAACTCAAGTCTGCTGCCAATGAGTTTATTTAAAATAAAACTAGATTATGTCACAAATTAAATTTATGTAATAAAAACTCCCAAATGTAGCCCTGAACTGTTAGCGTTCAGTAAATGTACACCCCCTACGCATTTTAGCTGAATAGTTCTGATGTAAATCCTAGAACCCATTATTGTTTTGTTTAAAACCCATTGATTCATTTATGATAGAAAGAGGCGTTAGACAAAATCTAATTTTAGATAAGTTTATTGTATTTAAAACGCTGTTTAGTGAGGTAATATGGAATGCTGATTTTTGTAACTTACTCAAGAATATCACCTATACAGCACAATAATTTTAGAACTATAATTTATATAACTGTACCCAAAATATCAGTCATATCTGGAGCTACCAACAATGATGGTTAAATGTATGAAGGTAGTTAGACCGACACTGGCGTTACAAACTAAAGGAACAAATTCAACTTGAGATGTTGAAGCCTTTTTTAAATCCCCACTTTACACTATACCTTGGTCATTCCAGCTTCTTGGCAAGCTTCATTCTCTGTGAATCTGCCTCAGTCTGTCATTACTAATGTGTGTCAGCTTTTACACTTTCACAGCACAGAAAGACTAAAAGCTTGGCTTTTTTTGCAGACCTCATCAGCTGCATGTCAGCTTGTGGGGCATAACTCTGAGCATGATGTCAGGGGGCTGTCGTTACAATCCATCCACCTATCGATTGAGTGGGGCAGCAGAGGGGGTCGCGCCATAAAACACTTTTACAGGAAAACTGGGCCATTGCCCGCAATGCATCCACCTCAAACCAACTTTGCATGCAATGTTGTTACTTGTTGCTTAAAAAAGACAGGTCCTATGTGATTAGTGTGGTCACTTTATAAGCAAATAGAACAGATTTAAATACTTTAGATGTACTGGTAGTGTCGGGTCATAGCTTTGAAGTACAGTTATTTATACAGCAATCACATTGAAAAATGAGCTCTGTGAAGAGACAGAGAGAAAGTTACTGAGTGTGGTCAGAAGCAAGCTAACTTCAAATTGAAATAGAAACAGCATGACAGATTTAATATGATGGATTGGATGAGATATAAAGATATGGGAGATTAGACATTCATTCGGCTTTTTTTCTTCAATAAGCCAGAGCTCTATAGCTCCAAATGGCTCTCTATTAGATTTGTGTGCCCATCTGGGCAAGACTGGCAGCATTACATATTGTGACTACGCTGCACTGGCCAGGCCTAAGACAGGGATGAGGTCATGTCTCAGAGAATGCAGAATCACACAAAGAAGCCTTATTACCAAGCTCTTAATCCTATCACACAAACCCAAAGCAGCCTGACATTCACCACAGCATGCCTTGGCCAGCAGTCCTCACTGCATGTCTCCCTTTTGCCAGACACTAAACCTGCAAGTGGAAATCTGGTTTAGAGGAAAAACGTATTGTATGACAATGCTTGTGTCTTTAATGTCAGAAATAACAGAGTGGTTTCCATTCTGATATAAAAATGTGATAAGTCAACAAGCTGCTTCGCAATTATTTCTTTGGGAGGGTCATGTTGTACTTAGAGAAATTCTGAGTGCTGAACTTTACTGAAGAAGCTGAAACTAAGTACAAACATCGAGTGAGTATGCTGAAGCAGATTGTTTTTGAAAGACTTGAAGAGATTTAATTTTAGTCTATGGGGAACATGTTGGCAGCACGGTGGCGCAACTGGTAGAGCTGCTGCCTCTCAGCGAGCAGGTCCCTGGTTCAAACCCCGGTCCAGGGGCCTTTCTGGGTGGAGTTTGCATGTTCTCTCCGTGCATGCGTGGGTTTTCTCCGGGTACTCCGGTTTCCTCCCACAGTCCAAAAACATGCATGTTAGGCTGATTGGTAACTCTAAATTGTCCCTAGGTGTGAGTGAGAGAGTGAATGGTTGTTTGTCTCTATGTGGCCCTGTGATGGACTTGCGACCCGTCCAGGGTGTACCCTGCCCCTCGCACAGTGATTGCTGGACATGGGCACCAGCGACCCCCGTGACCCAAAATGGAATAAACGGGTAAAGATAATGGATGGATGGATGGATGGATGGGGAACATGTTTTCCAAAAACGATAAATATTTTGAAAAGTATAACGCTATAAAACCAAATCTCCTAAATGAGCTTTGGTGTATGATTGGTTAAATTAACACAAAGCTAATGCTGAATCAGCATTCACACAATTAATTTTACCACTCACCACCAGACAAATGTTACAAAAGTTTCTGGAGTTTTGAAGCGTTGCTTCCCATCATGTTTAAGACCACAGTGCAATAAGGTGCATCAATGACGTCAGAGGGAAACCACAAGATACAGCAGAGCATCAGGCTTTAAGGAGCCTTTACCGTATCACAGTCTGTAAAAGTGTAGACAGCTCACAGTGACGAAGCATGAACAGCTTTAACCAGGCTCACCACAAAGCCAAGTCGTTAGTTCCTGTCTGTTGGGGACTGCAGCAGCACACACAACTACACAAGAGAACGCTTGCATGCAAATGTGCTCACACACTCACACGCGCACGCAAGCCAGAAGCAACACCTGCTCATTAGTTTTAGCCTCTGCTGCAACAGGGACACCTAGTGGCTGTTTAAAATGTTCAATGTCTTTCTGACTGAATATAAAATCACTTAATGTTCATGGACGTGTTATTAAACACAGCAAACAATTATTTAAATATGGCTTTATAATTCTTTAGGTTGCCTTTTAAACTAATATTTTAATGTTCAATTGATTCCAGTTCTCCCAGACTAAACAATGTGTAACATTATAAGACATTAGCCAAACCATCAGAGGTGTAACTTCTTTGCTTTTTTTGTGTGTTTCTGTGTTACAGCAGGAAAACTGTACAGCCTGGTGTTGACTCAGGAGTTATACTTTCTGCTAGCAGAGCAAAACAGCAAACAGGTTTGTCCAGACCTATTCAATCCTCCTCACTGTGCAGTTTGTAAGCTATAAATTCATATCACTACATAGCATGCAGATGTAAAAATATAATTACAGCTTTACCCTTTAAAACATACTTTTTACACTTTTTGTTGCATATAATTACCGGTAAGTTGATTTTCTCAGATCTACTGTCTAAAAATAATGCCAGAGTCATTCAACCAGAAGTGTTGTTTCACTAGGAACACTTTTGCTCTGTAACTGAGCAAACCTTGCTAAGTGTCAAACTTTGATTGGGGTGCTGTTGCTAAGGGCCTGATTTCCACCACGACAGACAGCCAACCAATAGCAGCGAGAGCTGTCGGCTCATGCAGCCGCAGTTTCCTGTATCTCACCAAGCAAGAAGGTTATGCAAATATTCAGAACAAAACAACATATATGTACACGGTATGTGAGAGATCGTAGATATTTGCAAACACGCATGCGCACGTGCAGACTATTTCACATCACCACTGAAAGAAACAAGAGGAAGTTTAGCTCTAGATGGTGACCTTTTACTGTGGCATCAAACTTCCTGCTGTTTTATTTTAAGATGGTGAACTTGTGAACCAAGTTTGCTGTCTCTGTATTTGCAAGAGGTTAATGGCAAACTGTAATTTTTTTCCCCCCGTGCAATTCAGAGCTCAGGCATGAAGACAATGCCACAAGCGCAAAGGAGGAGGCAGAGTCACTGGTGTGGAATAATGTGATAGTCCCTTTTCTTGAAGAGCTGGAGAGTGTGGCTGCAGGTAGCCTCTTGTGTGCAATACAGAAAAGAAACCCACAAAATAAATTGCTAACATGCATTATATCTAGGAGAACACATTTATTTCATCACAATATTACATTCCTTTTAGGCTTTTGAATGTTATAAAATGCTATCTAAAATGTCTTTTAGCGGAGGAGTTTCTGGTCTTTTCACTAGAGCTTACCTTCTCTTATCAGTTTGTCTTCCCATGTTTCCTTTATTATATTTCATTTTCAACAAGCAGGCTGAGAAACTGATTTCTCAGTGTTGGCAGATAGTCTTGCACAAAGCCTCAGAAAATGAAAAAAAAAAGTGCCGTCATTTCAGAGAAAGACAAACAAAACAGTGTTACGTTTGGCATCTGTACAGAATATGTCTCAGCCCGAAACTTGCAGTCTGGCAGCCATGAAATTAAATCTGTGGCTTTAAATATTTTAACACTCTACAAATTTAATGGAAATTTCATTTGAAAGATAAATATTAAATATTTATTGTACTAAGGGCCTTCTGGCTCATGCATAAAACACATTGGAGATTCAGTGAGAAATTGCAGTGAAGTGTAGAGTGTAAGACTGTGTTCAATCTTTCGTAGAAATGGCCTATTATTTATGCAGGGAAAACATTTATTTTACCTCAAAAACAAAGAAAACGCTCCACCCTTTCTCTTCCTCTGCGTCAGCTGCCTTATTGTTCTTCTGTATTTGACCATTGATACTGAAAGCTCTTTGTCAAAGAAGGAATTTTCTGCTGACCAGTATGTTACGACTGTTAGGGGTCTTACTTCATGTTGTCGTACATACAGATTTATTGTAGAGATACACAGCACTACATACTTTAAACTCCTCTGCCTTTACAGTATGTGGATACACACCCACACAAAAGTGGTTGTTTTCATTTTTATGATGTTTTCTTAATCTGAGTTCTAGTCATGTTTTTTTTTTTTCTAAACTTGTCATGGTTTCTTTGCAAAATGCGGTGTTACCTGCTGTGCCAGGCAGCTCTGATGGCTCCGTGGACCGCCTGTGTGATTTGTGTGATGGTCTGCATGGCACGTTGGCAGACGCCGACATGCTCGGTCGACGCTGTAAGAGGAGGTCGAAAATGCTGCGAACACTGTTCCGCCTCATTGACCTGAACTCCTCCAAGCTCAACCTGCACATCGCTAAGCTCTGCCTTGCTGTGAGTCATCTGTGAGTTTGCAGGTGTGTGTGTGTGAGTGTGTGTGTGAGACAGGGTAGGTGGGTGTGTGTGTTTCAACATGTCTACCACAAGCCTCTCTATCACAACAAAAAAATGTATTTCCTTTCTCTCCAGCTGTCCGTGAGTGGAAACAACCTGCTCAACATCTGTAAGCTCATTTTTCAGATCAGCCAGAGCGAATCCAACGACATCCTCTTCCAGGAAAACGCCATCATTGGTCAGGACATCCCATGTGTCATGATTATTCTAGAGCCCAACTAGTGGGCATTATTTTGATTTAGTCTCTCATTTCATCTTGTTTTTCAGACTCGCTGCTGGATGTGCTTTACAGTGAAGATGTGAACGTGTCGGGAGAAGCCCTGCTGTATTGTGTTGGTGCTTTGAAGTTTCTCTCTGGAAACACGGCAATCCTGAGACTCTTGCTGGATAAGAACTGTATGGATGTTGCTCAGAAACTCCTCCAGGTGCTTTGCGCAGTAGATGACACCTGCTTGAAGACAGCAGGGCACATCCTCGTGCAGGTTCGTCATAAGTTCAGTATCACAGAGTTACAGCCTTGTTTTTAGAGATGTTTTTAGGTTTTATATTTTTTCAAAAGTTTGGCTGAGTGAAAACCAAAAAGCCAAAACATGTCAATAAAAAGGACCAAATGTACTTTTGATATATTTTTTGGCTGATGCAGATTTTTCCAGCTATTAAGTAAAAATGTTTTTGTTTACGTCTGGTGTTGCTGCTCCATGAGCATAATGTTCTCTGCCGGCCAGCAGGCCACTTCAGTCCAGAACACACTCTGCTTCACTCTGCTCGACATAATTGCTGCAAACCACAAAAGCTGGCCCAAACAAACATCTTGAACCAGTCCTTCATTTGGTCATTACGCTTTTAGAAGAGGGAAATAAGCACCAGGACTTTCCACTGCACTTCAGTGCTGCCATGTGTTGGAAAATACAGTTTCCTTCTTTTGATGGAATGACTTATTTAAATACTGAACAGTTTCCCATTGCTCCTCTGCACAGACAGCAGACAGCCTTAAATAAATGAGCAGGGTTTTGTGCGTCTCCTTACAAAATCCATCTTTAACCCCTGCAGCTGACAGCCACCTTGAGGAACCTTGCTGATCACCCCGATTCCCGCGCACTCTTTGTTTCCTTCTCCATACTTCCAGTGCTCTGCCAGGTGTTGCATCATCACTGTGAAGACAAAGACATCTGCACAAACATTTCCAGAATTTTCAGGTACCACATGTTCATTTTTATAGTTTCACAGTCCAATTTAAACAGGCCATCGCTTGGTTTTCATCTACTCACTTTACATTTCTTCCTCTAAGAGTCACTGTGAAATGTCTCATTGTCTTTGATCCTCTGTTATGAAACTGTTTTTATACCTGAATCTTCAAAAAACATGGGGGTTGTTACAGTTATAATTCAAGGTGGTTCTACATCTGTTTTTCTATCTAGACCACAGCAAAAGCAGTCTCTGTGTCGCAGACTATTTCAGTTCTGCCTCGCCTACACTCATTAATGTTTCAGCTCCACAGTCTGAATGTACAAAGATACTAAAACAAAGAAAAAAATGGAGGGCTGTGTACTGACTAAAAACAATCCTCTTCTAGGCCTATAGGGTGCTTTTCAGTTATGAAATCATTGCTTTAGGAAGAGATGCACTGAAATATTTAAAAACATTTACTTATGTTGCAAAAAAGCAAGTTTACACTTGATACCTGATATATTTACCAGCTGTGTTGTTTTAAAGAGCCACAAGAGGCAAACATTTGCTCACAAACCTCTAATGCTCCCACCAGTAACAAATGATGCAGCACCACCAGTTTTATTATCAGTGTACTGTCATAAACATTAAGTTAAATGATTAAAAAGCATATTTACCAGGTTTAAGTAATTATCAATCTAAAACTTTATTCTAATATTGTGCCAAATACTGTATACGATAAACATTACAGATTTCGGCCTGTTTTCTTTTTGTGTCCACAGTTTTTAATAAGTAGTGACCAGAGCAGTGGGTTGAACAATCTGTGGTGTTTGTTGTCTTCTTTTTTCTTTCAGCAAACTCTCCTCTTACTCTCAGTGCTGTCTCGCTTTGGCTCAAATCCCCAACTGCTATCCACTGTTTTTAGAATTGCTAAGCAAACACCACCGAAAACAGGTGAGTCCACAACCTTACTGTGTTCTCTTCTCTATGGACATTAAAAAGGGAAAGTGGTACTTTCCCAGCATGTGGTGTTTGACTTTAATTTTCTGTTATTACATTGGCAAATAATTATCTAAGGAAGAGAAGAGTAAAAGGAGGGAGTGGGGGAGGGGAAAATGAGAAAAACAAGAAGAGACACTGAGGATGAGGAAATACGAGCAAAAAGAGGAGAAAAGTTGGACAAAAGAACGAAGAAAGTGTCTAGATTAAGTGGGTATGATGTGTTTAATCACATATGGAGCAAACAAGTGACTAATAGCTCCTCAAAAAATGTATTACTGTTTCTGAGTTAAATGAGTGTCCAACACAATAGGGTTGTTTGGCATTTTGATGAGCCAAGTTATTTTACTGTCATACAACTGAATCTGTTGGCTAATCTACAGATAATTGGTCTGTAATGGTTGAGGTGAGCAACGTATAATCACATTAGTCAACTGTTTTTAGTTCCAGACTCCAGAGTCCAAAACTAAGATTTCCTCATTAAAATCAACAAATATACTGTAGCTTAATGTTTTTGGTTTGGGGCTTTAAATGGCAAAACACCAGATCGCCTTGGGCCCTGGAAGGTTTTAATCAGCTCACTACTCTCTGGTAGCTTTCAGACAGTGTAAAGACTAAGAAATCTGTAGCAGGGTAAGAAATACTTAACCATGCAATGATGTGTGTTTTCAGTCCAGGACGTAGTGCAGAAATGCCCCTTTTTTTTAACCACCAAGTTTAACTGCTTTATATAAAATAAAATAAAAACTTACAAGGTTTGAATTTTATAAAATAACATTGTCTAATTCAGCTGGATATTTTACTGAAAACGACTTTGATTAATTAGTCTCATTTATTCATTGTTATTTTGAAAAGAGTAGATGTGATTACATTCACAGGTTATTAAAAACTTGTGTCCACGGTTCTTTTGCAGGACCTTGTTGTGCGTCTTCTCTTCACCCTTGGCAACCTCACAGCCAGAAGTGATGCTGCTCGGCTGCAGCTCTTCCAGTGCAGTGGCTGCATGGCTACACTCCTGCAGCTTTACAGCAGCTACCAGAGGAGAGACGAGTCACCGCTCACACCCTCTTCCCCCAGAAAGCCTGCTACTCCTCCCATCAGTGCGCGAGAGGCCGATGACGTGCTCGTGAAGCTGGTCAGGGTGCTGGCCAACGTGTGCATCCACCCGACTGTGGGTCCCTCACTGGTTGCCAATCCAACCTGTGTCCAGCTTCTGATGGAGACACTGGGTAAGCAGAGCAGCAGAACTTGTTTTTTTAAGGTAGACTAACAAAAACATTTGGGCGATTACAGTCAGAAGTAGGTTTAGAGTGGTGGCATTTCTTGTTTTTTCTATTTGTCTTTTTGTATCCTTTGTTTTTTTTTTACTGCATATGTGTGAAACAAATAAACCGATGAATGAAAATTCGGGGTTCTGATAAGTTTTAAAATAGCTGCTAAGAAGCAGGTTTTACGTAGATGCCAGGCACCCAACCACTTCCCTCATGCTGGGAAACCCAATCCTTATTTGTGTGTTCAAGACATCAGTTGCTCTCCTGTCAGTGCAATCTTCTCAACACATCCTCTTCTGGTTTACCTGTTTTTGTACATCTGACAGAGCGATGCACTTTGCTGCAGGAGCAGGTTGTACTGTCACGTCGCACTGACGACTTGGTTTATATGCACGATTCTCTCCCGTGTGGTTAGTTGGTTTTAGGACGGGTTGAACTGATACGTAGGTGGGTGTGAAACTCTTCTATGCTGCTTGCCTCCTACACTTAAGTCAGTGGCAGTTGGAAGAAAGAAATAAACAAAATAGAAGTAAATAAGCTAAAACAGACAAACTCAGTAGTAGAGTTGCATGGCAGCGCAGTTCCTCTCAGCAAGGAGGATGCAGGACCGCCCCGGGCCTGGGGCCTTCCTGTGGGGAGTTTGCATGTTTTCTGCAGGTCTTCAGGTTGCCTTCTGCAGATGAAAAGCATGCATGTTAGGCTAACTGGTAACTCTAAATTGTCCCTAGTTGTGGGTGAGAGTGTGAGTGGTTGTTTGTCTCCATTATGTCTCTATGATGGACTTGAGACCTGTCCAAGGATGTACTCTTGCACAGTGGCTGCTGGAGATAGGCACCTGCTCTACGTGACCTGAAAAAACAAAACAAGCAAGAAAATGGATGGATAGATGGATAGACTGGATAAACGAGTAATACCTTTAGAGCAATGTGTCACTGAGAGCAGAAACATAAAATTAATTACTGAAAGTGAATACAGAGTTGATGCAACCACCAGAGACAGAAATCACAACTTTCAGTAAGAGATGAAAGAGCCAGCTCGGCTGATTGATGTCCTGTTTTGATTAAGATCACGCTACGCTGAGCTGCTTTCTATTACACTGTATAAAGGAGGATGGGGTGCAAAACAAAGCAGTATTTCCAGTCAGAACCAGAAACAAAATCTTTGTGACACAGGCACCAGTTGACAGCTCGACCACAATATCAGCGATTTATGACCAAGAACACAACATTTGCAGCTATATCAGGAACAGACTTCATTTCAGTGCTCGCAGCCTCATTTCTTATTTGACTGGACCATTTTGATCTTTGACCTATAAAATTAACTATATCAGACCTAAATTAATGCAGAAGACAATCATATTTGTCAAATCAATGCACTTTCACTGGATCTTTTCAACTAAAAGCAAGTGATTCTTTCTTCTGGTTTCATTTTTTTGTCTTTAATGCCGCAGTTTATTTGAAAATATGCACTTTTTAAAAACTGAATCACTCTTAAGAGTAGCTGTGTGTCACATGACTGAAAGCTGAGAATGTGTTTGAACTTGTTGATCAGTCTGTTTTATGCAAAATCATGGTGTCACTTGAGTTATTTCTCGTTTTCTTTTTGTTTATTTGTTTGTTTGATTGTGTCTGCGTGCAGAGCTGAGGTCGATGCAGGAGAGCGAGGAGCTGATGGTGAACGTGGCCGCCACCTTCAACAACCTCTCGTTCTACCAAGAAGAGAGCTCCACGATCAGCCACAACCGGCTCGCCATCACAAAGTGTGAGACAAAAAAAATGAAACGAAAGAAGAAAAGAGAAAACTAGGATCAAATGTTCTACATTTTTCTTTCATCGCATTTTTCCCTGTTTTGCAGTGATGTTGAAGTTGATGCTTTCCTCGAGTATGGAGGCCGTGCTGGAGGCCACTCGTGTCTATGGAAACCTGTCACAGCACAGGGACGTGCGAGACTTTGTTATGCAAAATAAAGGTATATGCCAATAATACAAACTAACGCCTGAAGGGACTGAGTGTTGTTCTCTTTTAGTCCTAAATTATTTTTCCAAAGCCATTTACTTACTGTGTAAACTTTATGAAGTGGTTTGCAAATCATTAAACCCATTATTAATTGAAAGTACTACAAAAACAACAGTTAGCTCTTACTTCAGAGGGGTGCTGCTGTGAAGGACTTTCACAGAGTTATGTGTTGACCATAACATAAACCATCATGGATGCTGCTTTTCATCTGCGTGCCGATAACAAGCTGACAGGTTCCTTTCCTCCTCAGCTCACTGGAGCGTCCATGATTTCCAAATAAAACCTGATATGAATTTGACAAACTACAGAACAGTTCTTGCCTCTGTTCCTTCTGACAAAATGTCAGATCCAGAGAAAGCTCTGGGAGTCCTGTTTATTGCAGGTTTGTTTTCTCCTGCAGTTAGTCCAGAACGCTGCTGCGTGTCTTGTAACAGGAACCAGAAGGCGTGACCACATCACTCCTGTTTTACACTGGCTACCTGTTCCTTTCTGTATTGATTTTAAGATTATTTTACTGACTTTTAAAGTTTTAAATGGCTTGGCACCCAGTTACTTAATGGATCTCCTGCATTTTTACAACACAAACAGAACACTGAGATCCTCCAGTCAGATGCTTTTAGCGCAGCCATGGGCAAAATTAAAATGCAGGGGGGCTCGGGCTTTTGCTGTGGCAGCCCCCAGACTCTGGAACAATCTGCCCATTGATATTTGTTCTTCAGAGTCTGTGCAGTCCTTTAAATCCCACCGAAAAACTCACTTTTTGCTCTGGCTTTTAACTTTGGTTTGATTTTCCATCAGAACCGTTTCGGTGGGTTATTTTCTTGTTTTAGGCAGCACGGTGGCGCAACTGGTAGAGCTGCTGCCTCTCAGCGAGCAGGTCCTTGGTTCAAACACCGGTCCAGGGGCCTTCTGGGTGGAGTTTGCATGTTCTCTCCGTGCATGCGTGGGTTTTCTCCGGGTACTCCGGTTTCCTCCCACAGACCAAAAACATGCATGTTAGGCTGATTGATAACTCTAAATTGTCCCTAGGTGTGAGTGTGAGAGTGAATGGTTGTTTGTCTCGTTTGTCTCTATGTGTCCCTGTGATGGACTTGCGACCCGTCCAGGGTGTACCCCGCCCCTCGCACAGTGATTGCTGGACATGGGCACCAGCGACCCCCGTGACCCAAAATGGAAGAAGCGGGTAAAGATAATGGATGGATGGATTTTCTTGTTTTAGTTCTATACTTGTAATTTTAATGTTTCGTCTTTCATTTATTTTATTGCTGATTTCCTGTTTGTGAAGCACTTTGGTCAACATTGTTGTTTTTAAATGTGCTATATTAATAAAATTGACATTTTAGTTTGAACTTTTGTTGCAGTGTGTGCTTCTAAGGCTTGCTGCTTTCCTGGTCACCTGTATTTGACTTTAATTAATGCTGACAGTGAACATGTAGGACAGACATTAAATCAAAAGGAGCCTCAATTAGCTGCTTTCTGTGAATTTTACTTTATAATTTTTGCATCAGGTCGTGCTTCTTTTGCACTTTGGACACACTTCCACCGTGTCATATCCTTCATATTTCACACCATGAGAGTGCATCTCCAGGAAAAGCATCTTGCTTTAAATTAAGTTTAAATAGCAACTGTGTGTGTGTGGGGGGGTGGGGTGGGGGGGGTGGGGGTCCACAAATTCACTTGAACTGCTCAGGTTTTGTGTATGAAAAGGTGAGGATTTGTTTTCTGCTTACATTTAGCCTTTGTGCTATTTGACCTAAATCATGTGAAAACACCTGTTTTTGTTTTTATTGTCCAAACTTTTATAAGAACCAGAAGCACGTTAATCGACGTTTTACACTGAAACGAGAAACAGACTCGTAAAGCAAAGAGCTTTGCAAAAAGCAGTGTTTAAGCAGCGACTTTTGAACACACTCCTGTTTACTACTGTGTGATGTTGAAGCCGGGTTTATCTGCAAGGCCAGCTCCACAGAGCATAAACATGCCTGCTGACTCTGCTGATAGCTGCTCTCTTATCTTCACCCTCCTTTGTCCTCATCCTCTCCCTCGCTCCATCATCTTTCTCTCTCTCTTCCTCAGTGCACAAGTTTGCGGTGACCCTGCTTGACTCAAAGAGAGCGGAGATGTGTTTTTCAGCCTGCGGGGTCCTGACCAACCTGGCTCTAGATCCTCCTAAAAGGGTCAGTCTCGCACTGGAAGGGACCTCGGCCAAGTAAGAACAAAAGCACTTAGAGATTATAAGCTCCGTCTCCTGTCATTTTTTTATTTTTAATTATTTTTTATGATGCATCTGAAAAGTCTAAATTTCCAGGAAACGTTGTCAAATGTAACAAGATAGGAGCATAAAACTAAGCATCACAACATGACAATAATTGAAAAAGCATGTCATCATAACGATGCTCCTAACTGGCAGCTTGTAACAATAAAGAACCAGTTCATTACTGACACATTTTTACTGTGCAGAACCGTCATTCCTCTTGTTTTCTGCCAGTAAGTGGTAACTAAGCCCAGCTGATTGCTGAAAGGCACCGAGTAGAAAGATTAACGACAAAATAGAGGAAGGAGGATGTTCTTGTTGTTCAAAAGACAATTTTGCGCTTGGCGAAATGTGATTTATTCCAGACTGAGATAGGAATATTATCAGCTTCATGTGCGTATGATAAACCAGCTGAACAACACAAACCTGATAGCTTCACACAGTCTGAAAGTTTATAGAATACATAAAAATATGATGCAAATGGGATTTAGGTTAAGACATCTTCTTTGTTGAAGATTATTTTTATACATCTGCTCTTCATTGATAAGAAAGCAGCTCTGGATGGAAAAGAAGCTACACTGTTTGCATTTGTCCAGATTGTTTAAAATAATTGTAAATATTTTACTAACTAGATCTTGAGTTAAGGGAAAAAAGAGGTTTTAGTTCAATTTTTCCAACGGTTGGAACTTTATAGCTTTTCTTTCCACTTCATGCACCCACTGCCCTTTTCCAAATGAAGGTCCACTGAAGCGCAGCTAATGTTCCCAAACCTGATGGTCATGTGAATCCTCTTTCATCTGGTCACATGCGTTGTGTTCGTGTGTGTGAGCAGACTGGTGGACTGTCTCAGAGACTTGGGAGCAGCTGACTGGCAGCTGGCAGGCCAGGCTTGTCAGGCGATGTGGAATCTGACGGGTGGTGGCTCAGAGGAGCTGTTGGACACGGAGGACCGACAAACACTGCTCAAGATCCTAACGGAGTTCTTAGGTTTGTGTTCTTATCCTGGCATAAAGGAGACACAGGCTGTCCCAGCAGGAAAAACACATTTGATTCTTATTTTTTAAGAACGTAACTGTGCCTAAAAACACCATTTATTAAAATGCATGACTTTAAACTCTTTTTTTTGTTTCCAAATACTGTAGATGAAGAGGAGGTTCTGAAGTGGGTGCAAAATGAAGACATGAGGGACTTTCACAGGGCATGCTGGGAGTTGGAGTTTCAACCTGTTGCTCAAAAACTACTGAAGGCACTCCAGTCTCAGGACCTGACAGCTTGACACACTCAAAGTTGAGTTTTTTGTTGTTGTAAAAACAATACAAGCAAGCGTTGCAATTTGAGGCTGAGCTGGTTTACATTTTCTGTTTTTATGGAGGAAAATCCTTCACCTCGACTCTGAACCTGGTAAAAGTGACTTCAAAATAATAAGCTGCACAAAAAAAACTCCCACAGGAATTCCTCCTCCCACTTCAAACACCATCTTATGAATACAGACTAAATAGATTTACTGCAGTTTAAAACGTGCAGATGGTGATCAGAAATCAAATTAAATTTCTATAACAGCCACTCATACTTGTAATTATAGAGTATAAAAAAAGAGATGACGTGGTCATAAATGATAAAAAAAAGTATGTTGATGTAATACCACATTTGTAACATCTGTTCACAAATTTTAATTCAATTCAATTTTTTTATACAGCACCAAGTCACAACAGGAGTCATCTCAGGACACTGAACAGAAACATTCATATATAAAAAATAATAATTTAACATTATTTATCTGAGGAGCAGACTGCTTTGAATTTAACTCCACAAAACTCTCATCTTGAGCAAGCATGAAGGCGACAGTGGGAAGGAAAAACTCCCTCATGAGGAAGAAAATAATATTTTAATTCTAATTGTATTAACATTATTATCAATGATTGTTTTTTCTGCTTTTCAGATTTTGAACTTTTTATGCACTTTATGCTTCTCAAGCACTGATTTGCTGACATGTTTGCATGCAGTTTACTCAAACTTGTATTATAATGTGAGTTTTACTCTGGACTGAGTTGTAAAGATACTGTATTATTTATAATAATGTGTTCTTAAAGACGAGGCTGACCTGGAATATGTCTCCAAATTGAAAATGTCATTATCTGAAATGTAGTTTGAGTTTGTGTGTGACAAACCTGAGCAGAGCCTAAAGAAAGACATAAACCTTTATTTTTTTGCTGTTGTTTTGCTTCTCCAAGCCTTTATTGTTACACATATAAGGGGCAGGGCAGTGCTTACAGGTTACACCAATCACATCATCATTAATACATCAAAACAAATCAGAATGGCACTTTAAAATGAAACCTAACAACAGAAAAAACATGTCGGTTTCCCCACGTTTTGTACAGTAAGGATCTGTAACAACCACAAAACAAACCGATGTTTCAAAAAACCCAAACAACCTAAAAGCCGAAGCTTATAAACAAAAATAAAAAAGTATCCGGTTGAAATCGGTGTAAGCTTCAAAATAATGTTTCTCATTCCTTATATGAGAGAAACCACTCAAATGTGAAGTTTGGTCAAACACTAAGCTCCTGCTGGTGATTATAAACTGACAGGTTTTGATGGGAAACGCTGAAATTCACACAGAATCAGCTGGAAAGTTACGACGTCCAGAAGCTGAGACTTTGACCACAGCCGCAGCACCGACTCAACCTGGACAGGTGTAACGGAGCTGAGAGTCATGCAGCTCTAAAACACGTCGCAGTAAGATAAAACTCACATGAAAGTCCCTGAACTGGACCGATGACAAACTGACACGTTCCCTGAGCTCAGCTTACTGATGATGATGTCAGCTTTTTATATTCAGAGCTGTGTGTGCACTTTACACCCAAGTTTTGAAACTCCACACTTTTTCACGAGCCGTCTTTTGTCTAACGGCGCTCGGGCCCGGCTGGGGATGTCTAAACGTTCGTGTTGGTGCCACTGAGTGCTGAAGGTGACGCCGATTGTGCTTCGATTGCTTAAATCCTGAATCGTGTTGGTTTAACTAATACAATCTCTTCGATGAATAAAAGGTATGTTTAGGAGAAAACTACGACGGATACACAACAATTCAATATTATAATTTTATTTTTTCAGCTTTTTTTTTTCTCCATAGATTTTCATATAAAAAGTGTCAGTAACTGACATCAGTCAGAAGATTGAAAAGAAAAGAACAACCTCCACTTCCTCTTACGCCACTTCCACATGTACCATTTCTTTATGACCATCATCCTCAGGATGTCCCTCCTACATTTGTCTGATTCTTTCAGTCCACCCTTAAGAACGCAGTACTGAACTGATTTTAGTAAACAAAAAGAACTAAACACCAGAGGCTTTAAACCTCTGGTTAAAATAAAACAGCTGCTTTTGCACTTGTTACACTTCCCTGGCAGGGAAAGAAAACAAACAAACAAACAAACAAAAAACTTTTGCGATCACAAACAAATCGACCGCAGGCAGCCCTGTGTGGGCGCACAGTGTCCCCAAGTACTGGGAACACAGCAGCCCCCCCAAAGAAGTTTCTGCTCACTAACGAGCACTTCTTACACGTTTAAAAGATGAAAAATAAAAACAATAAGAGGTATTTATTTACTGGTAAAATTCACAATCAATATCTTTGAAAGTGTTTGGGCCACCAGGAAAGTGGGATAAGCGGAAGACAGATACTGTTTGGTTTGGGCAACCGGAAGCAAATCCCTCCTGGAAAACCTGGTTTCTAACTTTCTTTATGATCAACTTCTTTTTAATCACTTTTCCCATTACCAGAAAAAAAAAAAAAAAGACATTAACAAAAAACAAAGTATCTCACAATAACAGAGCTACAGCAGAAGCAAGAAGGTTTTCCTTCAAAGTGCCTCGCTTTTTTTTTTAAACAAATGAAATTCCAAGACATACTTTTTTTTTCCGTTCTTGCCATTTCTGTGAAACACACACACACACACACACACACTTCAATTATGAACTCATTCACGCACATACAGTCAAACTCAAAATGGGCTCAGACAGTGTTCTTTGAGTTGGTTTTCACACTCCTTGGATTAGCTTACATTGCCGTTTTAGATTTGGGTGAAGGATAGGGGGATGGGGGGGTAATGCAGTGGATTTTTTTTGGACAGGGGTTTTTAGAAAAAAGGATTGAGGGAATTGGATGAAGGGTGGTTTGGGCATCGATATGATCCCACTAAAAATACACCATGGGAGCAGCAGCATCAGCACGTATGCACACTGTGCTGGATAGTTCAGGCACACGTAAAATAAAAAAAATAAACACTGAACAAAAAAGAAAAACACTAGTTAATCCATCCATCTCCAGTTAAACACACCAACAACATCCGTTTCTCGTCATACAAAAATGAAATAAAAAGATATTAAAGAAACTACACATGACAGTGAAGACAGAATCAAGTGCAGACGCTTTCTGGCTGCACAGCTTCCTTTCTGGGGAATTTTTCCGGGTTCTCACTTGAACAGATGGAAGGAGAGACAGGCAACTAACGTGTTGCATGCTGGAATACTGATATCTAGTCCTGGATGTCTCCAGTGTTGAAGCTTGGCCCGGCACAAACCCCTCAACAGGTCAGGAGTTTGCTCAAGGCTGCCCTCTTTTGGTCAGTTTTGGCACTGCAGGCAACACATCCGTGTTTGTATGTGGATCTGCTCAGTTTGAGATGACTCGTCTCCATCAAAAATCTTCCCGTTTTGATTTTGATCGTCTTTGCAACATCCAACCAACATGAATTGTCACAACCATGACCTCTTTTTCCACATATTTGCAGGTTTTTCTTTTCCTCTTTACGTCTTCCAAAAACAAACAAAAATAATGACAGTCAAAAGGACAACAATAAAAATGCCAAAAACACTTCATGTCATGTAGCGGGTGATCGCTCTCAGAGCGTATAATAGTTCTGCTTGCATTCGTGCTTCCATAAGAAGCAGATTAACGTGGACCTGCAGGAGATAAAAATAAAAAAGGGGGGGGGGGGGGGGCGTGTTATTAAAACACTAACAAAGTTCAGCTACAAGCTAAAAACAGGAAATGACACCTCACCTTTTCGGAGTGCTGAAACTGCCTCCAGAAACTCTCATACATTCGTTTGGTGGTCTTCTCAGGGCTACACACCATGGTCTTGATATAAATCTTAAAGCTACGGTCCAGAAGCTGGTTTATCTCCCCGTAATCATAATCGTCATACCTGAAGAACACAGAGAATCCATGTAAGCAGCAGGGAAAAAAAGCCGACAGTGAGGAACCGTGGAATACAAAATAAAAGCCTTGCAGGGGACTGACCTGATGCCGAACATGCAGTGGATGTAGTTCCAGATGGCCCTGCGCAGCATGCTGGTGTCCACATCCTTATGTGTTGCCATGGTGTTGTACGTCAGATTGTAGGCCAACTGAAACTTCTCGTCCAGCATCTGACCGACGTCGGGGTACAATCTGTTGACCAGAGAGAAACCGTGGTCCTCCCAGCTGTAGTCCTGCAGGGGTCACACAAACACCAACTCAGTGCCATTCCTCTTAGCTTACTTATAAAAACACCGTATCGGATCACTTACCTGAGCTCTGAACGTGGGAACGTGCTCCCCCCTCCTGGCGAAGTCCTGGTAGCCATAGCTGGTGTCTTCAAAGTGACGGGAGATGTCCCTGGAGGGGACGCAGTCCTCGTCCTCGGCTGTGACCACCAGCATGCTCTCGGTCTTCTCCCTCTCGAAACGAGTCGCCATCTCCTCCTGGCTGGCCTCCTCGTCGTCGCGACACTCCTGCAGCTGCTTCATCCTCTTCATCAGCACCTCCACCTCGCCACACATTTCCTACAAAACAAATAAAATACGTCTTAAAGACGGACACAGGACCCAGGTCTCAGCAGCTGTCTTAATGCACTTCTTTTGTGGTCGCTCACCTGGTTGCCAAGCAAATCGTCATGGTGATTAGCGTGACCATTGCCATTGGCGATATCACACACGCAGTACTGGCTGAGGGAGGGGGGTCTGAAGGTGTGTCCACCGTCACAGTTGATCTCGGGCATGATGCCACAGCCGAAAGTGAAGGAGGCGAGGGAGTGGTAGTGCGTGAGCAGGACCACAGCGTGGATCAGCTCTGCCAAAGACCAGCTCTGCTCCTCAGCCTTCAGAAAGCACTGGAAACGACACGAAGCGAACGCTGTGAGCGACACCAACACAGACTCAACGAGGGAAGGGAACGCGGCTGCACTCGACCTCAACGGTCTCTTACGACGCCACCATCCACTCACCTCAATGTGTTCCTTGGTGATGAGCCAGGGACGGTGGGCCAGGATTTTGTTGAGTTCCCCGAGTTGCTGCAGCTTCTGTGGTGCTTCGCTCAGACCGTTCAACCACTTCTGGTCTCCCCCAACCTGGAGGAAGTCGTTCACGTGCAAGTTGACCAAGTAGGAACACTGATGCCTCGCAGCCGCCTGCAAGATCAGATAAAAAGAAATAAAAAGCTTAGATCCTCAACGTAAAAAATGCTCATCTGGAAACACAAAGGATGAAAAGAGTCATACCATGATGCCAATGTAGTGTCTATAGTGCAAAGGTAGAGGTCCGTCCATCTGCAGCAGGTAGTGCTGCGTCCGGAGAAAGCTCTCCAGGTACTGTGGGTGGAAACTCATCAAGAGGGAAATGTTGTCCAGACGACCGAGGGCTGCAAAAGCATCCTCAAATATGGACTGCGTCCTGGTGTCCACTTTACTGACTTGAAGAATCTGATATTCAAAAAACAAAATTGCACGTTTGTTTGGTTTTTTTGGGTGCGTTTGTAACAGATATTTAAGATTTGTGAGCTCATACCTCTTTTTCAGGGATAAATCTGCTCGGTCCGTTACCTAGGGGTCTTGGGATTCTGACTCCCAAGTCCTGCAAAACAAAAACAAACAAAAAAAAAGATATGCTTAGTTTATAGTTCAACTCAACTTCTTTATTCTATAAAACAGTTATGTTGTCATTTTAAATGCAACACAGGAAAAAAAAATAGGGAAATCTGGAATGCTACGTTTGGGTTTTTGCACTCCTTGCACAAAACTAAGAATCTTGAGTGCTGAAGAGCTATCAAAGCATCACACTTCCCTCTTTACTCAAACTAAAAGCCGAGCAGAAACCTTTCGCTCGGTTGTGTCCAGTAACTTTCCGCTGCAAGTCGAGACATGTCCACTGACCCGCTGCAGCTCAGATGAATTAAAGTTCACTAAAGGGGCATTTTACCGACGTGACACCGGCTCCAAGACGTATCTGAACACTTTGCGCGTTTAAACAACACATTTTAACCATTGCATCCATAAGATTTCCTGCCCGGTGACCATGAACTCATCATCAGCACGTAAACAAGTCCGGACAAAGGCTGCACTGCAGTGAAAATCTAAAACATTCAACACAAACCAGCTCCGAGACGAAGAAAACGGACTTATAGGTTGTTTTTTTAAACCACACCGCTTTACAGACGGCGTCGTTTGTTTTTCCTCTCTTACCTTTTTGTTAAGCCGTTCACAATGGGTGCATATCTTTAACAAGCCTGTCACCGCGAATGAATTATTCTCCACACTTTGTGACGGTGCGACGGCGTGCCTCATCTCGTGTCTTCGCCGCACCTCGTCGCTTGTTTTCGGGCAGCAGAAAAATGGAACATATATCTGTGGATGCGGTCTGAACGGCTCTTTCCTCCTCCCTTTGTTCCTTGAGGCACCGGGGAAGGGGAAAGTGCTCAGTAGTCAGCTGTTGCAGCCTCACAGCAGAATACCGACCTCTCCGGCTCATACATTCGGTAAATAAGTCGAGGCTCGCGCGAGTGACGCGCTCGGCAGCCAATCGCAGAGCGAAAACAGAATCGTGGCAGCCAATGGCGGCGCTAGAATCACCAGGGGGCGGAGCTAAGCGTGAGGAAACGGAGTCGCTTTAAACGTGAGCAGAGGAGGAACAGTCCCCTTCTTTTTTTAAGAAAACACCACTTCTCTGCTTTTGTTCTCTGCTGCCATTGATCCTGATTGAATTTTACTGTGAAGCATTGCGCTCTCTATGCTAACTAAAGCTTGCAATCAATTCTGATTGATTCTGTCCCCTCAAAGAGTCCAATCAATACCAGTATCAAAACAAGATAAGGCCACTCCAGGACTTAAAATAGCTGAGTGTGAGTGCAACTACAAGGAACTGTTTGTGTGTTTTCTGCATGTTCCTCTGTGCAATGTGAACAAAAACAACTGCTCAGGCAAGCAGCAGCAAGTCCCCCTAAAGGCTTTTTGCTGTACTGAAGATGCAGGGGAGGCCATCGGTCCGGGGGTGTAAGATGAGACCCCAGCTCTCCTGGGTGAGCAGCATAAAGGTGGACTTAGTGCAGATCAGCATCAACACAGCGAGATGGAGAGCTGCTGCAACAACAAGCCTTCAGTTGGTGGTTTTCCACCACAGCCTATCACACCACAGATAATACCATTTCTCCACCAATCAGTCCGAACCGAAGGAGTCCTTTAAAAGCTGAGAGGAAGCAGAGATAAGAACAGGCAGCTCATATGGTTTTGTTTATGCCAGCCTGACAATGACATGTCCAAACAGTGTTTAACTGGTTTAAACCACCACTGTGGTTACAAAGTCCATTATCTCTTGGTTTTATAGGCAACAAGTTAGTACAAAATCACACTGTAAGCACACTGCATGATGAAAACTTTATAATACAATACTTATCACATATTTATCCGCTCCTATAGGTTTGTTTTTGCCACTAAGATCGTGCACGCGTGTTTGAATTTCTTGGTAAACCACAGATAAATGGTTTCATTTCTCACAAGCAGCACATATGTTTTGTTTATGATGAAATGCCAGCAGCCACATTAGAAAAGCAACCACGCTTTGGTGGCTGCGTGCACAAACACGAAGACAAAGTCAGGTTTGTGAGCTGGATTTCAAAATAAAGCTGCCCAAATAAATCAGTGAAGAACTTTCCGTTTTCTTCTCACTTCCTTTTTTTTTAAATTTTACTGTTGTGTTTTACTACTTTAAGAAAACCACATATTTTTGTAACGTAAAGCCATTTTTTTTTTTTTGTTGCCACTGTAATGCAACAGTAACAGTAAATGTTTTAGCATGAACTTAGAGAATAATAAAAAGCAAGTTAAAATTGGAAATAACATAAAAGTGGAGGCCAAGAGAAGGCAAGTCTGCCTCTGTGATCCTGCCTGACGACCAGTTTGTCAACCGTCTGCTCATCCCCATCATGGTGCTGATAACTAGATAGCACTATATTCAGCATGTTCATTGTGTGCATTCAACCCGCCCCCCTTCCCACCCCCCTCCAGGCCCTCTCCTGATGCCACAGGATGGGGTGCAGGCCAGCGGTAAACATGTTCCCAGGGCTGGAGTCAGCACTCCCGGACCTGCTGGGAGCCCCATGGCTCAGCAAAGCTGCAGAAGAGGACGGTCAGCGTTCGGCTGACGACGCGCCAAAACCTTTCACATAAAAGCGCTTAGGCTCGGGGGGGTCCGGCCACGCAGACACCACCAAACACTATTATTGTCAAGAGGGCACACACTGACTAGGCAGTTAGTGTGTGTGTACAGTGTACGTGCTGTTTGTGTTTGCGTCTCTGTGTTTTTATAAATACTGTGCATCATGTTTATTATCGTCAGCTGCCAAACAGCAAAAGGCAGGAGATGTTGTGTGATTGCTTGCCTGCTGTGTTAGTAAAATATCTCATGAAGTAGTGAGTGACATTTCATGAGACTCCCAGAATGCAATTTTTGGATTTATATCTACAAGTGATAAATATCTGGAGTAAATCTGAGCGGCCACCACGGCTAATCGACCTTAGGAAACACAAAAAAGGCTTCAACTCTGTTAAACCTGCAGATATTGAGCTAAATATTAGTGTGGTAGTAGCTCAGAGTGATCCCCAACACTTAGTGTGAGTGCTAACAGATGAATGAGCTCTTCCTTTATAATCTGTCTGTTAGTAAAATATCTCACTTACCACTGGATAGATTTGAACGAAAACTAAAAATCGTCAGGTGTATGTATACAACTGATGAAATTCAGTCTAGACTAGCACCCATTTCAAGATGGACGCCACAGCCAGCTGGCCTTAGAGAACACAACAATGGCTTTAACTCAGTTCGTTACAGATACTGAGCTCAAGTATCCATGTGTTTGAAGATGATAGTCATTCTCAACACATGACTGGTTTATGATCAAGTTAGGAGGCTTTTTTACTGCTTGAATGATTCATATTGAAGTTAAAAAGTAACCTAACGAGAAAAAAAAGAAACATTATTTTTAAAATTGTTAGGTACAAGGACCAAAAACGAGTGAAAAAGCCCAAATGTGAGATATTCTCAGCAAGGCCTGAAGATCTACAGCTCACTTTACAAATATAACACCAAATATAAAGACATGGCGGGTTAGCTGATACTTTTTTGTTCTGTTGGACTCAAAACAATCAGAAAGCTGCAGAAACTTCGATGAAACGTTGGAAGAGATTTTTGTCCAGCTCGGCTCTTGACTCTGCGTCTTTGTGTTTGAGTGTTTTCTTTAAATTATTCTCTGACTTTGAAAGAATAAAAGAAAAGATCTAACTCTTCACCCTAGACGTGTTTTATCTGTCTGAATGCACTTGTGTGTCTTCTGAAGCTTGTTCTGAACACAGTGTGACATATAAAAACCACATTGCGGGCGTCTCAGGGGAATATCAAGACGTACATCGTTAGGCATCTCAGCTTTTTGTTTGATGTCACCTACAGTTTGAATTTTAAGTGTGTTACTCTTAAGACGGGGTAAAATCAACTAAACTGTCTTTGTGTGTGTGAGATGAGCGTTTAAACTGGACTGAGAACAACGTTGGACAGATACGTGACAATAAACAGGAAGACTCCTGGAAACAACAGGAATCATATGAGATTTGCTCAGATACTTATTGGATAGAGGAAAGACAGGAACAATGGAAACATTTCCACTGGATTTTTAAAAATAATAAAAATATTCCCATGAATTGTGAGAAAAAAAGAAAAACATTCTGATTAAAAAAAACTTTTTTCTTATTAAAACACTGTTAAGGAATTGTTAGATGACTATCCATCCTTCCATCCATTATATTTACTCGCTTCTTCCTTTTCGGGTCACAGGGGTCACTGGTAACCATATATCCAGTGGTCACTGTGTGGGAGGCGGGGGACACCCTGGACAGGTCTCAGTCCATCACAGGGACACATAGAGACAAACAGCCATTCACTCTCAATTTAGAGTCACCAATCAGCCTAACATGCATGTTTTTGGTCTGTGGGAGGAAACCGAAGCACCTGGAGAAAAGCCACGCATGCACGGACAGAACATGCAAACTCCACCCAGAAAGGTCCCGGGACGGGATTTGAACCGGCCACCTTCTAGCTGAGAGGCAACAGCTCTACCAACTGATCCCCTGTGTCTGTTAGATGACTAGATTTAGAAATATGCTTATTCAAGTTTGCTAATAGTTTCAGAAACTTAAACTTTAAAAGACAGCACTTTATGTTAAAGTTGAACTGAAGCCTTCTATAGTATTCCTACTTTACACGTAAGAAAGTTTACAAAGTGCTTAGAGCACAAATAAAAACAAGTTCTGTACTCGAAGAGAACCGATTTACACTGAACACGGATATCTTCATCAACTGCAGCTTTTCACAGGTGTTCGCAAAAGCCCACGCAGTTTGTAGCTGTGCTTAAAAAACATGTTGCAGAACTGAAAGTGACTTCCTGTATTTACAGTGAAGCCAAATCAGATCAAAACGACTCGAGTTTCCTCTGTAAATCAGACATACGGTTAAGGAAATTATTATTCAATCCCCTGCTGCTTTTCTAAGTTTGCCCACTTGTAAAGAAATGAGAAAGTCTTTATTTTATGGTAGTTTTATTTTAATAGAAATAGACAATATCAACTAAAAACAAAGATGGACCTTCCGGATGGAAGGTGAAATGTTTCAGCACAAAAAAAAAAAAAAAGAAACTGTCCAGATGACCTGACTGAAAATTGTTGAATTGTATACCTGGATTATTGAGCATGGACTTTTTTGGTTTTGAACCAGTTTGACATGATTGTCAACGAGGAAGAGGGCCAGCACCAAAGGAGGGGGCGTGCCAAAGACACCATCTTAGCGCCAACATAACTGGTTTGTTCCACTTTGGAGTAAGCTGTTTGGGCGAAGAATCAGTTTTGTGTTGTGTGTTTCCTTGACTGATGAAGCCTTCTGGATGGAAGGTGAAACATTTCAGAAAAAAAAAAAAAAAAGAAACTGTCCAGATGACCTGACTGAAAATTGTTGGATTGTATACCTGGATTATTGAGCATGGACTTTTTTGGTTTGAAAGAATAAAGCACATATTGTAATATTTAAATGGACGCAGCAGCTTGATTCCCAAACCTTCATCCCAGTTCACACAGATCGATTATGTGCCCAGGTCGCCAGGATAACAGAGTAATGCAAACTTGACAATTATTAAGTTGTATAAAATAAAATTAATATTTTTTAGGCTGGATTCTACTTTTTTTTTTTTTTTTACTTTGTTTTTGTTTGTTTTTAGCCTTGCTCAGACTAGCAGATAGCTTATCAATTAGTTTAAATTTAAACAGTATTTTCCACAATAAGGTCATTCAAATAGTTATTTCAAATATTAATTGGTTATAAACTTTCCATAGAAGCCCACTTTAAAAGATCTGAACTTTACAACAAATACAACTCCTTGAAAAAATTCACAACTTGTGTATTGTAAACACCAGTAATGATAAGAGTTAAATTTA